TTATTATTCGTGTAATCTTTCATTCGAATAAAAAATAGTGTTCGATACGAGGGCGAAAAATGTCGTTTTTCGCCCTTGTATCGAAAACTACTATTATCGTAATTTTATAAGAGACATATACTGTGCAAAATGCTAAAAGCCTAAACAAGCACTCCGACCCAACCCAGCATTTTATTCTAATCTAAAATCTATTAAAGCGATGGAACGTCCCATTTCAGGAATCGATTCAGATTACTTGTACTTTCCTACGACCTACATAGAATGATCGGACAAGTGCTGGGAACTCTTATAGCGCACATACTGATATGCACCTTGCGAGATAAATAATAATGAAAGTAAATAGTTCATACTTCGTTCGATGCGGTGAACACGCATATCTGGGCATTTTCAATCGAATCAGTTCGTTTATGACTTCATTTGACTTCATCAGTACATTATTTGAATATTGATTAGTTTAATTCTCAATTCAATCTTGTGCGGACTCTTAATTCACATCTAAAATATTTAATTAGAAATGTGCAAATCACATTTTCGTGAATCTTGCGTTACTCCATTTGGAAACGCATTACGGGCCGGTGGAAAATTGAAAACGTGTCCAGAAACCTGATGAGTTTCGCGCAAAAGCCTGCTGACGATCTTGAGGAGCGCAACTTTTCGCCTCGAATCTGCAAAACCGCCTTAAACTCAATAAACCAATTAATATTAAAATTGCCCAGCAAGCAAATTTCACATTGGAAAGTCTACTAGACTCAATCACTTGTTTAGTAACGACTATCACAAAAGTAATTTTGAATTTTCCAGTCGACTGACGCAAACTGCTGGTTAACTAACACGGATCTTTGATAGTTCTACTGCTAAAAAGTATTAGGTAAAACTAAAGTCTTACCTAATGTTTGCTTTCGGAGCAAAAATCAACAGTTTTTTGTGCCTGCGTCCAACAAGAGACTGAGAAGCAATTTTAGAATAGTTAAATCGACTGGGAAATTTGCAATGATTGTTAAAAGAAAAAATATTGAAGCCACATAAATTACTGCAAGCATGTTAGTAAGAATTCCAAACCACTTGTAAGCCCCAACGAGTTCTTGACGACTTAAACATCGGGCATCGACCTACAAGCCATTTTGGGAGTTCTTAAGATAACTCCGAAAGGCCGTAAACGCAAAGTGGTGTTTACCGTCACTCAAATAACTAATCACTATACTTAGTAGCGGACTGTCCGTTTCGAAACACTTTTTGGTAGTCGATTACTCAGTACTTCAGCGAAATTATCGACTTATAGGAAATACAGAAGAAAAACACCAATTAAAATGCTCAACAAACTTCACACTTCTGCTGAGAATTTACATAGACCTGGCTGTAAACCGCGCTTAATTAATAGGAAAAAAATGGACAAAGTACGTGAAAGTTTTGGTGTAAAACATGTACAACTTAGTGTAGTTTTATAACCAAATATTACTTTGAAGCCTCCGATTACACCAATAGGTGGTTTCAATTATTGATCATATTTTTGTGTTATCTACACAAATTTCAAGTGAATTTGGGAAAAGAGGACGGGGGTGAATTTGGTCCTGATGTTTCGCTAGCATTTATGATTAGCATCATCAGATGTATGCTGCCTTCAGTTGCTCGCACTCCGATTCGTACCAAAAACTAAACTGATTTTCCAATCAAGAGCGCAGTTGGCATCGGTTTTCTCATTCAATGGAGATGCAAAATGGACTGCTATTTACTATGTTCCAACTTCATACCTTTACCAGTTAAAATGCGTTGGTTTCGAGCGGGACAAAGTTGGAAAAACTCCGGTTTCCAACTAAAATCCCTTAGAAATCAATGAAGAATTGATGTTTTTCGGGTCGCAACCGACGACCCGAAAATAATCAATTCTGCAGTCTTTTCTACGCGATTTTAGTGCAACCCTAACCAGGTGTTTAAACTGACTTTTGACTCTTTTCCAATAAAACGCAATGTAATTGAAAATTGGCGAAAACAATTTTTGCCCGCTCAAAGCTGGAAAATTTTAGCCGTGAAGGTAGCAAGTTGGAACACAACTACCCGCAGTCGATCTAGCGTCTCTCTCGGCGTCCTACGTGAGCGAGTGAGAGAACCGATGCCAGCTACGTTCTAGAGTGGCAATCTGCGCCCATGATAAACCCGCGGGGCAGCGAAAAGTGAAAAAACCCAAAATCACAGTTGGAAATTCCTTGTAAACCCACGCTTTTCGATTAGTCCCGTGCATGTTATTTAAACAATTCACAGATTTCACCGTTCAGGTAAACAGCTAATGCCGATTGAATGCGAAAACAATTTTTCCCCGCTCAAAGCTGGAAAATTTTAGCCGTGAAGGTAGCAACTTGGAACACAACTACCCGCAGTCGATCTAGCGTCTCTCTCG